CTTACATCACCTGGTATTAGCAAGTGGTCACCCATTTAGGTACTTAACAAGTTCGATGTTGCTTAACTTCGGCGATCGTACGGGGGGAACCGGTGCTTTGAATGAGATATAGCCGTAATCCTTAATTAAAATCAAATTTAAGTCTTCAAATATACGAAGCCTGATTTCTATTTGAGTGAAAAAGTAGACATTGGGTTTCGGGTAATCCGTGTCTTCAAGCGTCTACTCGGAAAGTGGTCCCTTTTGTGGTAAATGTTAACCCTGCAATAGGTGATGCATTTCGCGTATCCTGTTCCCCTCCAACATGACAGTAAATAGATAGATAGATAGATAGATAGATAGATAGATAGATAGATAGATATGATTGTAAGCTACCAATTGAGATTGTTTCAAAGACGAAATATTGTGGTTCATTCACTGATGAGGCTTGTGTGCCAACTCTTGCATATTTTACCATTGCGTGCTGCAAAACAGTTATGCAATTAGGTATAATTGTATGCAGAAATATGGAAAATTATGCAGTTTTGTTCGTTGCACATAAGTGCATACACGTGATGCAGCTTGTGCGTGCGAGTTCTCGAAAGTGTGTCCATGATTGGGTAGGGCAAAGTTCTTTATGTCCAAGCGGGTTGAGTATATTTAGATTTACTTTCTTTTATAATGCAGCTACAAATTGAACACAAAATCCCTTTTTCAAAATTATCTATTTCTGTAATAAAACTTATTTTTATTTATTTCTCTAAAGATGCTGCCTGGATTTTTGTTTGGAAATGTTTCTTTCCTCATCTTCGCCAGAAAGGGTTTCAGGAATCGGCGACACATTTCACAAAATATGAACCCTGAACATATTTTGCTCTTTGGACAAGTGAAATATTTAGTAGAAGATGGATTACAACAATGATAGCCGAAAGTATTCACAGAACACCAGACAATTTATAATCCAATTCTCGAAAAAGTAAAATACAAAAAAGTTAAATAATATATCTCTGATATTGAGCACTTTATCCGATAAATATAGCACACCATAAAATTATATTGTTCATATATATATATATATATATATATATATATATATATAGTGACACGCATAAGTATTGGATACATGTTATTTTCTGTTATAACTCTAGTTTATGTTCGCCATTTTGCCTGATATCTGGTAAGTAATATCTCGTAAAGTTGTTTTAGTTGTATGTGTAAGGAAAATTCAAAACTCATGGTTGAATCCATTTTTTTTATCAAAGCTCAAAATTACCCTATGCAAAAGTATTGGATACATGACACTTTTTTTCGAATTTCCAATCGAAACTTTGTATTTTAAAAGACTTTACTTATTCAAATTTTCGATAGTATTGGAATGTTATCTCTGACCAATCAGAGAAGCACACAATTGTTTACAAGATATTGCAGAATACACATCAAAGAGTCAGATGATTAGTAAATCATCTGACTCTTTGATGTGTATTCTGCAATTCAAGGATTAAAAACTGCAAAAACTAAAGAATTATCCAGAGATATGCGAGATAGAATCATTGAACGTCACAGAGGAGGGCAAGTTTACCGAAAAATTAGCTTATTACTGGGTTTTAAAAGTACAGCAAAAATCTTAATTCATGTTTCCAAGGATACAGAGAAACCCATTCATCTAGACAAGGGGTGTTTGCGAGTTCATTATCGCTGTATTTTGATGTATCAGTTATTAGTTACGTTTTAGTAGGGGTAGCGATGTATTTTTATTATTAACGTCAAAAATTCTTACGGCATTTTTTTCTATTTGTATGCATAAAGATTTTTGTGGGGGTGTTTAAGTTAGAATACGTTTTATTTAACTACGATTTTTTTAAAAAAATCACTTTTAATTTTTAATATACTATATTTCTTTTTAAAACAAGTAAATGTATTAGAATCACTTACAGTATGTAAAATTATTTTCACATCAAGTATAAGTATGTATATTACTTGGTCAAAATTAAAAAAAAATTATATTTACATATTATTTAAGTAAAATTTTTGACAATGACGGCAAAAATAGCTAAATAATTTCTCTGATTTAGTAAACTTTTATTTTTTATATATTTTATATAAATCCAGTAATATATAGTTTATCATGTAAGTACAAAGGACATGGGTCATTCAATGGCCTACATCTTCTAGTTTTTCATCAATAATTTCATTCTACTGTAGGTGTTTTATTGGATTCATTTAAGTGCCGGAGATAAGTGTTCAGGTTAGAATACGTTTTATTTAACTACAATTTTAAAAGATGTTTAGGTTAGAATTCGTTTTAACTACAAATCTAAATACAACTTTAAAATATTTTCACTGTCATTTTAATAGACTATATATATATATATATATATATATATATATATTAAACAAGTAAATGTAATAGAATTACTTACAGTATATAAAATTATTTTTTCACATTAAATATAAGTATGTAAATTACCTGGTCGCACTTTTTAATTTTTTTTTATTTTTAAATATTATTTAAGGAAAATTT